TTACATCTAATTTACTTTAAAACGAAACAATAGTTTGACATATTGGGAAATATTTGCTTCGTTGTTGAAGTACATAACCGGACCTAGAACCTGCAGCTTGTTAGCTTAGCATGGCTAAAACCCTAAACGACACAATAAATGTGTTTAATGACAGACAATGTGGTCAAGAAAGCCTGACAAAGACTTTACTTCCTAAAAAGATTAAAGAAGTTTGGTACGAACACCAGCATCCTCACCAACTTTTATAGGTGCACCACTGAGAGCCTGCTGACAGGCTGCATCACAGTGTGGTATGGGAACTGCACCGGTCAGAAAGCACTACAGAAGGTGGTGCAAACAGCAGAGGACATCACTGGTAGCAGCCTCCACACCATCCAGGACATCCACCACAGCTGATGTCTGCGTAAAGCTCAGCATCATTAAGGACCACACCCACCCAGCACAAGGACTCTTCCATCTACTACCCTCACGCAGACGATACAGGAGTCTGCCGTCGCGCACAAAAACACTAAAGGACAACTATTACCCACAAGCTGTCAGATTACTGAACTCTGGATAAATAACACTGAACAACTGGCGATAACTTTGCACCAAGCCACATCTGTGACAACTAATATGTTTATTGCTGCTGCATTATGTGGCTGTATCATGTATGTCACTACCTTACCATCATAATTCAATCTCAATGTCACTACATGTGCAATAACCTGTCACACAACCAGTGTAGTATATGTTAATTATGTGCAATATATATCACATGCATTTTAGCTAATATTACTACCTTGAAATACTTATTCATACAAATTAATTCTGCTTGCTCCATTAAAATTCTACCATGTTGTTGTTTACTATCTTTCTTTAGGACCTTGTACATATTATAATTACTTTTTCACTTTTTGGTACTTTATTTTATACTCTTATTGCATGCTTTAGTATTTCTTGTTTGCCGGTTCTTTGTTGTTTAAGCGAGTCAAATCGGTTCTTCTCATCCTGAGCATTTCATTGTACTGTTAACCCTGTGTTGACCTTGTGTTGACCTTGTGTTAACCTTGTGTTAACTTTGCATATGACAAATAAACACAACTTGAACTTGAACTAATGTACAACAGCCGAAGCAGAAACATGAGAAACTCGACTCAGTACTACACTGTCAGGGACCTGACACAGAGGCTGCTCACTGACGTTTTTGACGGCCGGGTTTGAGTCTTATCAGAGCAGCTGTTTTAGTTTTGGCTGATTTTGTTGATTTTCCGACCGGTGACGCTGGTATCAAACTGGGTTGCGACTGGTGGTACCATTTTTAAGAAAGTTGACAAACTTTCCTTTACATTCCCATTGAATTCAGTGTTCGCAACCAAACAGCTAATTAAAATGTCAACACCTTGGCCTGTTGTCACATGGACGGCTTGGCTGTTCTCTTGGCTGCGCACATTATTTGTTCCCAACTCGGTAGCTGCCCTCATGTTCGTGCTTCAACCTACGAGCACTTTAGGAATGAAGAAAGGCAGATTTAGAGCCACACTTTAATAATTATCAACCATCACATGGTTTATAGACCAGAACGTCAGTCCCTGATGGTTTCTGTCACATCCAGCTGTGAAAACACAGCTGTATTATAATAATAATCACAATTATTTAACCGGGTTTGTCCCATTGAGATCAAAAGATCTGTTTTACAAAAAAGACCTGGCCAAGACTGGTAGCGTACAGCATACATATTGCTCTTAAGTTGAGTTTGAGACACCTGCAACAACCCTGTAAGCTTTTATAACACATTCAAAACCAAAGAAACGTCTTTTTATAGCCTAAACTTAAAACCTTTCTCTGGAAAATATGACTATATTCTCTTAAAGTGCCTCTGATGTCTCTTTTTGGTGATAATTATTAATGCATTTTTGAAAATTTAACCTTAAGAACATACTGATTTTTGGGTTTTTTTACACCGCTGAGATGAACGGTTGTTGAGACATTTTGAAGCGCAGTAACAGGAAGTGATGTCAAAGGTGGACGGAGCTTTGCTACAATGGCTAACACAGACAGTATAGAATAATCTGATGTTTCTTCAGATTATTTTGAGTTACTATCAGAGAGATAAAGAGTCAGAGTTAAAAAAAAAAATTGTATCAGTGAACAAAGACCTGAAAGTTCCCCTCTGATGTCACTTCCTGTTTCACTTTGGTTGGGCCTCGTTAAAGGAAATGCCCGTTATATAACAAAACGGGTGAAATTGTGTATTTGAAGCCAAATTTCTTAAATATTACAAATTATTTCTCCCACTTTTTGTATTTGGAGGGCGTGCATGTCACGGGCACTTTAACGTTTTGTCTGCTTCCTTTTTCGGTGTTTTACTAAAAAAAGCAACCCTGCTGTTCGAGGAGTCCTCATCATGAGAAGCAATGAGGCAAAAGGTAGCAACAGATGTGCCTGATGTCAATTATTTAAATAAATAAATCACTAATCAAACTAACTCTATCCTGGAGTAGAAATCGGTTGTTTTTAGACGTTTTTTCTTTCCACAGATAATCAAATGACACAATGTGAATCATTTGAGCTCTTATTTTTATAATTATGCAAACAGACTTGAAAAATTGTGCTCAAGTCCCTTTTTTTTTCACTTGATTTAAACAGAATAAAATGTAAATAGAGCTCAACTACTTTTTACTTTTATATATTTTAATGCCCCTTTAATTTTATTTTATTTTGGGGAACTGTTGTCAGTTTTGACAGGAAAGCACTTGTTTTATTGTGCTTTATGAATAAATCTGACATTGACAAAGTAAAACAAACCTGCCTCCTTCTGCTCTGTAATATTCCAACATGAATGAGTAATTCTTGTTCATCACATCTATAGTGAATGATTATACTTCCCAAAATGCTAAGTTGTTCATTTAAACTGGGACTCCATCTTGAAAAACGCTCAGTTTGTGTTTACCGTCTGAGCCGCACGTTGCTAATTGAATGTTAGCTCAAACTACCACACGGCAGACGTGGTTAATTAACACAGCCGAAAAGACGAAACAGCGAGATTAGTGGCTCGAACCGTCTGCTTTTATTTCCCCCTGAACAGATAAGTTGAGCGTTTGTGGATATTTTCTGGATGTTGGAACCTTTTATTATTTTGTTGAGGAACATCTGTTAAAGCACACTTCTGTGAAAAACAAAGAGCAGATCAAGATGATCTATAAGAAGCAAATAATGGGAACAAACGGCATCATGGAGCTCGTGGAGTCACTGTTTCAGGACACAGACGTGGTCGGAAGTTAACATCAACTCATCATGAGTGAAACTTGGTTATTTTTTAAATATATTTTGTCTTTTAATGATTTATTTGCACCTGTATTTTTCCCATACAATGGCAAAATTGGCTCTCTGCTTTTAACCCATCCACCACCAGGTGGAGCAGTGGGCAGATATGGAAAGCGCTGGGGAGCAACTTGGGATAAGGTGTCCTACTCAGAGACACCACAAGACATACAATGACCGGGGATCGAACCCAGGACTTTCAGGTCCCGAGTCGGTTGCCCTGCCCCTACACCATCTTGGACAAATCTGACACCCACCAGTGTCCGAGTTTCAAGCTACCACCGCCATGCTTGACAGTAGAAATGTGACGTTCGCAAACGAGCCGAATCTTTTGAGCAACTCTTTAAAACGAACGATGTGAACTGAGTCGTTCCTTTTTGCATTTTTTTCCCCTTGTTATGTTTTCCTCCTTCACTTTTCCTCTGAGACACAGACGAGCCGGCAAAGAGGAGGAGTGCAGATTTCGAATATGAAACAGGAAGGGAGGAGTTGCGCTTGACGAAGCACATGGTACAGCCCTTACATAGTACGTCACTGCGTACGGCTTTACGTAGCGCTGTAGACCAACGTCACTAATCGTTTAAAGCTGAACAGCTCTTTGAAACAAGATCCGGCTCGCTTCAAAAGAGACATAAATCCCATCTCTAGTTGGTACAGTGCTCATTGGGTTAGCAGTGGTGTAGTCTATACGATACTCGAGCATACGGAGTATACAGACTAGAAAAGCTTACGAATTTCAGTATACCCACTTAAAAGTGCCCAATGATACATGACATATCATTAGGCATGTGTCATTGATACGTTAAACAGCAGTTAAACACTTCGTAACAATCGATCAGTATGCGACGCTTTGCTTTGATACTGTTTTATAAATTCTATAACACGTTTTTAGTACAAAGCCAACTGTTGTACAGAGTTTGTTGTTCATTTATTCAAATATAAGCATCAGAGAAATTTTGAAATGTTCAATTTGCTTAAAAATCTAAATAAATTGACGATTACATTGTACTAACCGGTGTACTTTGGTTTCTAAGCGCAGTATACCCACTACAAAAATGTAGACTACACCACTGGTTAAGTCTTATACTCTTGTCATTGCGGCCCGTTATGTAAATCTCAACCAGTTAGATCTGAGGTGAACAGATCAGTCAGAGCTGATGAACAAACCCATTCACGCTGGCAAATAAGAACTGCTAGCTGCATGGTGCCCAAGGAGACAGAAACAGGCTGAACCACCTAATGAAAGTTAAATGAAGTCCTCTGGATGGTTTCTTTTAGTTGAAGCGTTCCATCTTTCATCCAAAGGACTTCATCAGTCCAAGGAGCCACAACAAACTCAGTCGTATAAATAGCACCTTCACATAGTTGGTCAACCAGTTTGATGGTACTAAGATGGTTTCTGGAGTCCACCCTCTCCCCCACCATGACGGCCTCAAATGAGTCAGCAGGGGAGAGGGCAGACTCTGGAAACCATTTTAGTGCCATAAACTGGTTGACCCACTATGTGAAAGTGCTATTTATAAGATTGAGTTTGTTGTGGATCCTTGGACTGATGAAGTCCTTTGGATAAAAGGTGAAACGTTTCAACTAAAATAAACCATCCAGAGGACCACACTTAACTTTGTTGCACCTAATAAAAGGTATAAATATTTGAGTATAGTTTTGTTGTGGGATAGAAAAACTTGTGCTTTCGCCCCAAGACGAGTGTAAGTCAACTCCTGACCACAACTGTGTGTAGAACAGAGACATGGAGACACGTCTGCTTTGTCACATGGCGGTGCACCTAAAAGGACTTCTTCCAGGACTTGCAGAGGATCTTCTGAAAGGCGCGTCTGAAGTCCCGGTTGAAGATGGTGTAAATGGCCGGGTTGAGGGAGCTGTTGCAGTATCCAATCCAAAAGAAGAACTTAAAGAGCGGATCGGGGATCTTACAGGAGTCCCCACAGACCCCGTATAGACTGTAGCTGAAGAAAAAGGGGAACCAGCACACGACAAACACTCCCATCACCACAGCCAGGACGAACGTAAACCTCTTCTCTCTGGCTTGAGAGATCTTCTTGAGGGCGAAGGAGCTCCTACGGAGCTTCCTCCTGGAGGCGAACAGATCCGTGGACTTGTTGCTGACCCTGGACTGTTTGGACAAGGAGTCTATCCTCTGGCTGGGCCTCCTGGCCCTCTGAGAGTTCCGGAGCTGGGATTTGTGACCTTTGCCCTCTGAAGAAGAGGTCTCCTCCAGGTCGGCCTCCTCAGTCTGTTGGCCCATGGTGACCGTGCGCTGGCTGGGCGTGGGTGGACAGTGACCATTCTCCGTGTCCCCTTGGAAAGGCGAGGAGGCTTTGCTCAGTCCGTTCTCAGTTTGCGTGGCGCCATCCGGTCTGGGATGCTTCACCGACACGCTCCTGGTCCTGGTTTTGGCCACCTGGTAGATTCTGATGTAGACCAGGACCATGATCAAGCAGGGGGCGAAGAAGGAGGCGGTGCTGGAGGAGAGGATGTACCAGGTGTCGTCGTTCAGCTCGCACTGAGGCTGAGGGCTCGCGTCGTCGCTGCTGTCCACCGACAGGAGCGGGGGGGACGAGATGAAAGCGGAGATGAGCCACACGACGAGGATGATGCACTTGATGCGCCTCGGAGTCCGCTTCAGGTTGTACTCCACCGCCTGCGTCACGGACCAGTACCGGTCCAGGCTGATGGCACACAGGTGCACGATGGACGAGGTGCAGAACAGAACGTCCAGAGCCAGATAAATCCCACACCACACTCTGCCAAAATACCAGTAACCCATGAGCTCATTGGCCAGGGAGAAGGGCATCACCAGGGTGGCCACCAGGATGTCCGCCGTGGCCAGGGACACCAGGAACAGGTTCTGGGGGGCTTTGAGCGCCCTGCTGGTCAGCACGGCTATCACCACCAGGATGTTCCCCACCACCGTGAAGACGATCAGGAAACTCACGAGAGCCGCGATGCCGGCGGTGGCGGCGGAGGAATACCCACCGTCCAGGCTCCAGGAGGAGTTCAGGTGCACCATCACCCCGCTGGCGTTCAAGGAATCCATGCTGGCGGCGCGCGCGCCACCCGCGCTAAGCGAAGGTGGGAATAAAATCACATCCAGGAGGACAGGAGAGTCCAGAGAGGAGCTCCATCCGGTTGAAGGCAGCCTGCTTGGACTCCAGCGCTGATGTGAAACACATCCTAATGTCCAGCGTGTTGGTGGGGAGACGCGTCGTGCGTCTCGCGTGGAGCTGCAGCTCTGCCTCCTCCTCGAGCGCGCTGCGCTCCGAGGGAAACTCATCAACCTGCCCCACCTCCGGCGCGCACGAGCTTCACGTGTTTACTGAGAGAGAATGTGACAAGAGTTTTTATTCTAGTTTATATTTCATCATCAAACTAACCCCCAAAAACAGTTTCAATAAGAACCTGGGTCTGGTTTTAATAACCCTGAACTGTAGCTGCTGATGGACCGTCTTTGATGTGACATGGTTTTATTTCTTAGACATGAGGAGGGTTACACTTCAGGAGGTGGAGGAAGAACACACACACACACACACACACACACACACACACACACACACACACACACACACACACACACACACACACACACTGGACTGAACATGTGGCAGAGCAGGTGAAGGTTGTTGGAACATCTGTTTCGAGCTAATTATTTGTTTGCAACTGTTCAAACGGTCACAGCAGGTCAACTACTTCTTTTATTTGTATTTTTTTCCTGAAACCTTTTTTCTTCTTCTTAATTACAGCAAAGTTCATGCTCAATAATCCAGGTTTAAAAAAAAAAAAAAGAAGTTCATTCAGTTCCTCTGGAAGGTTTCTTTGTGGTGAAACGTTTCATCCCTCATCCAAAGGACTTCATCAGTCCGAGAAGCCACAACAAAATGGAGTATCACAACCAGCACACTCACATGGATCAACAAGTTTAGTGGTTATAAGATGATTTCTGGAGTCTGCCCTCTCCCCCGTCGACTCTTCTGAGGCACCCATAGCCAAAGTGGTTCAGAACATCAAAGTCCATGCTTAATAATCCAGGTAAAATATCAAACAAAGTTAAAGCAGGTCCTCTGGATGTTTTTTTAATTTTTTTAAATGTTTTGTCCTTCATCCAAAGGACTTCATCAGTCCCAGAAGCCACAACAAACTCAGTCCCACAAGCATCCTGATCTCAGTGATCAAGCACTCGAGCACATCCTTCAAGGGGACGAGAATGCATCCATGGCGCCTCCTATTCGACTCATTTGACAATTGGGGCTGTAGCTGAGATATTATTTAAGCTTTTGAGGAGTTCATCAGCACCTCCCATTTGTTAACAAAAAACACCTTGTCATGGTTACGCATCACAACAAATGTCCAAAATAAAAAAAATAAAAAAAAGTTTCAGTAAAAGTCCTTCCAGCTGCACAGCAATACCAGAGGAAACACTCATCAAAACAAATTATTTACATCCAGCAAAAGAGGAGTTTAAGCTAAAGGAAAATCTCTGAATGATTGTAACAGAGCTACTCCAACATGATGCCACCCGGAGCGGTGCAATTCTAGAGCAACAGAATTATAGAATGGAGCTCTCCACATCATTTGTGTTGTTCAAAATATTCATGTTCATATATATATATATATATATATATATATATTGTTGTATATA